ATGTAACAATTGTGAGGATGACACAGGACTGGGCAGTGTTTCAAGCTGTTGCACTTAGGTTCTTTATGGGTTGGTACCTACTTGATGCAAGTTGTCCACTATAACCCTAGAAAACTGTGATTACTTTTGATGTATTGATTTATTGATGAGTTCTTTCCACATGAATAGAAAAGGATCACATGGGAAGATGGCAATTTTAGTTTGACAGTATTTGATTTTAATCCATTTTTCCTACAATTGAATTTGGTCACAGCATACACTAAATACATAAATGCATATCATTGGTGAGAAAAGATGTTTACCTTGGCTATTTCCATAGTATATGAGCATATAATTATTGAATTTTAAAAATTAAGTAATTTTGTGAACAAAATAATGTAACATTTGTTTAAACTAAGTTTTTCACAAGTTAATTAGTACAACAGTCAATATACTGTAAGGGAGTATAATATAAAATACAATGAAATAATTTTTAATTTCTGTTTAGTAAAGTGAATAAAGTTGTAATAGAGTGATTTAGTATAATTTTTAAGGATCTCTAAAAGTTGATGTGTGGAAATAGTTGTATTTAGAAATTTATACATGGCATCTTGTGTTTTTTGTTTGCTTGTTTTTAAGGTGATGTTAGATTGAGTGGGTTGATCCAGTTAAAAAAAACTTATTTACTATATAAGAGAGTTTGATATTCAAATGGAGAATCTCTGAAAATATTGTAAGTGTGTAACAGACAATCATATGTGCATTTCTGAGAGTTGACTTTGGAAGCAGTCTGGATAATACCTTTTTTAAAAATGGTGGAGGTGTCTGACCTCCTCTAACTTCAGAAGTGGGAGCGGAATCAGATCAACAGTTCAAGTCTTATTCCTAAGGGGTGGACTTAAGCATACTTCCACTTTCCAACATTTTTTTACCAATTCTGATGCAAACCATGCCACCCACAGCACACTCTACTTCTCTTCTGGGTTCAGTAATTCATTGCAAGGCCACACTGAACTCACATGATTGTGGAATTTATTATGGAAGTAATAGGTCACATTCAGGATCCGGAATACTCAGGATATAGTTATTTGAGCAGGACAGCCTTCCCTCAGCCAAAATCAGGACTCTCTCTGACCCTTGTCCCATTGGCCGAGCTACTATTCACCTGGGGCAAGGGTTACAAGCTCCACCACCATTGCCAGTAAGCCTCCAGCCTGAAGACACAGGTTTTTTGCTCTGTGGGCTGGGAAACTCAGTGCTCTGTTTCATGCTGTTTTCCTGCTTCTGTTGTCTCTGCTGCAGCTGTTTCTCTGCTACTGTTTCTTGCCATCTCTTTCCATCTCTGGCATCAGAGGTTTGTGTACACTCCCAGCACAGGAATAGCAGGTCCAAAGGACACACTACACTTCTGGCTCTTCTTTACTGGTGGTGGTGAGACCCCCCTGTTTGCCTCTGATATGGTTCATTTTAAGTCTTGCAGGATGCCCAAACTGGTCAATCCCCTTGATGGGATTCCAGACACCTTATTTTTATGGGACCACCCCCACAAGGGTGGCATGCATTATTATTTACATTATTAACAAGCTATGCAGTATCCTTGATGAACCACTAGCACCTCACACTTGCATCATCCTACACAGTCATTTTGAGCCCTGGTGTGGCACTACAGATTAATGCACTGGACTGCAAGGTTGGTTTGAACTGCAAAGTCAGTGGTTCAAGCTCACCAGCCACTCCTTGAAAACCCCATACAGGATCTCTATGAGTTAGAGGCGACTTAAAAGCACTTAACAACAACCCAGTTATTTGTGACAGACTTTCTGGAAATGTCTCCTGTAAAAATTTGAGTTAAAATCATGGTATGCCATGAGTGGTTTATCCATAAGAAAAATAATCTGCATTTTTGATGTAAGGTAGCATGACTCTTAATGAAGATTCGAAAACTCTAAGAAGAAGACTGGGAATTAAACATTGTGTGGATGTCCTGGTGTGGCAATGTAGGATAAGCACTAGACTGCTAACCATAAGGTTGATGGGTCAAAAATGCCAGTCACTCCTTGGAAATCCTATACAAAGTCACTATGAGTTGGAATCAACTTGATGACCCTTAAAAACAACCACCCAGTCATTTGGGAGTCCTGGTATGATGCTGTAGGATAAACACTGGGCTTCTAATAGCAAGCTCAGTGACTCAAATCCAACAGTCAATCCTCAGAGACACTGTGCAGGGTCACTATGAGTCAGCACTACCAACAACAGTAGCTAAAAGAACCACACTAACAAATTCAATGCACTGCACTTGTTGAGGCTGGTCATCAAGCACTCTCCTAACCATCAGGGGGCATTTGTGAGGGATGGCATATAAAGCAATTCTAGCTGGTCTCAAGAAAAGAGGAAAGATTAAGACATTAGAATAAACTGCCAAAATATTTTATATTAAAGATTAGGAATCAAAGATTATTCTTGTATTTCTGGCTTAAGAAAACTGGGTTAGAAGGGTGGGAATGATGAACTCAGTGCACAGACTCTGGGTTTACACCACTGAGATTCAAATTCTGGATGACTACTTACTTGTCATGTGCAACTATGTAATTTATTTAACCTCTCTTGTGTCTTAGTTTCCTCCTATGAAACGTGGGGATGATTTTAGTATTTATTTTATGAGGTCATTGTGAACATTAAATGGATTAATGCTAACTATTCAGTAGCAATAACTGCATATACTCCCAACTTCTTAGCTGTTCTGTTTTTTTAATATTTGGCCAAAACCCAGTCTTTGTTAAGAAGATTGAGCTACACCTAATCCCATTCTTGGTGCTGAAATGTAACTAGGGAAATATAACTGAAATGACTAGAGAAATATACTAGTTCAAGCTAACTTCAGTTAGCAGTCCAGTAATTATCCTACAGGGCCATACCAGGTCTGCACAGTGAAACTGTAGACTAAAAAAAAAAAATATTGGATATCACAACAAAGGAACTATAGTTCAATCAATCTGGAATTCAAAATATGAAGATAAACTGGATATAAATTTACATAGTAATGGAATAATTTAAAGAAACAAGATCTTGCTGGAAAGAACATTAAAAGTAGAAAGATGTGGCATGTGAAGTTAGAACACAGAAACATACAAACCTGAAGCAGGTTGAAGTATTGAGAAAACCAGGAAAGATACAGAAAGGAAATATCCAAAGAAGCACAAGGACTAGGAAAATACGGCAGTGTGGAAGTCAGCAAATATCTTTAAGGAAGAAGTGGTCAATAATGCCAAATGCTTCATAATAGACAGTACAAAAGGAATGGTAAAGGATCAAATAGTGATAAAAGCTGCAGGAAAATTCATTTACTGAAAACAAATTGTCAGATTCAAATGCACTTAAAGATTTGCTATGAAATGGATTCCAAGACTGGTAGAATACAAATATACTCACATAACCCATGTTTTAAATCATTGGTTTTCTCAAAGAATGAAGGAATAGAGTAAGAAAGGATGCAGCTCTTGTTGGACTTTGTGTCCAGAGGTTGGCATTAACAAAGTAGTTCCCTGCTTTATTGAATGGAAAACGGAGTTTCCACAAGTGCTTGGGTAGTGGAATAGATTTCTTCTTAGGGTTAAAAAATGGATCAAGGAAGTATTGATGTTAGTAAAATTATTTTTTATTGTTGTTGTTGTTGTTAAGTGCCATAGAGTCGGTTCCGACTCATAGTGACCCTGTACAGGGTTTCCGAGGCTGTAAATCTTTATGGGAGCAGAAAGCCTCATCTTTCTCCCGCGGAACAGCTGGTAGTTTTGAATTGCTGACCATGAGATTAGCAGCCCATTTAAAAATGCTCCATTTAATGCTACCAGAGTTCCATTTAAAAAATAATGAAAATGTTAAAATTCTAGACATGCTGAATCCTTAAGATACTATTATAAAAAATAAAAATAAACTAAAATAAAATATAAAGTATTGTATATAGCTCTCATTATGCTTAATTAGCCTTAATTACTACAGAATGCTCAATAAATATTATATAAAGATGAAAATTAGAATTAGTTATTGCTATCCTTAACAATATGGAGATATTTTATTTTGTTCTGTTTTTGTAGTTTGAGATTATGAAGAGTTTTAAAATAATTTTGTTAAATAAAGGCATTTAAAATACAACCAGTATTTTACAGATAATTACAAGATGAATCATAAGTGGGTACAAATTGAGTAATTTGATTAATTTCAAGGTTGACCTTTAGAAAAGTATTTGTCTAACATTCTTAGTTGTTATATTTTTATTATATCAAGCTGAAGTTCCAGCCATTTAATTTTCCTGTTGCTTTTTAAAATGAGAAATGCATTATGGATATAAAATTAGCTTGTTTTTTAAAAGAAATGTTTCATCGTAGAAACAACTTGAATTTCATTACACAGTATTAATACAATCTTTAAATACCTGCATCTCTTTCTAGTTTGCTCTTTCAAGATTACCTTACTTATGCATAACTCACTTCTACATTTATTGAGTTAAGTAATTATTTTGCAGGTAATTAAATTTATTGTTCACTCATAAAAAGTAAAATAAGCCTAATGGCAGAGTGTAGCTTTCATATAGGTTTGTGTCATCATTCTAGGTAGCCTCTGACCTACAGGAGAGGCCTCAACATTGTAGATATATAATGTGCATCCCCAGCAAAATTGTCTTCAAGAATAACTTCATTATTCTGGGAAGCTACATCTATAAAATATGTAAAATGTAGTGTTCTGCCTATACAGTTTCTGGTAAGTACGACATAACTACATGATAAAATCTGAGTCAGCTTCAGTTTGAACATACCTTATTAAAAAGTTTATTATTACATAGAGGAAAAAGAAAATATCGTAAAAAAGATGTTCTTCCTCTAAGTAGTGAAGTCATTTAGATCAATATAGTTTATGCCTTGATTAATGAAAAATTAACTGTCTGGAAGCAGTTAGTGCTATAGCGCACCTGTTAGTCATAGTAACCCAGAGTTATAGCAGAATGATGAGAAGGAAGAACTCACCAGTACCACGGGGCAGATTGTGGTGGGTGGTAAAATATGGTCCTTCAAAGATCCACAGTCACATTCAGGTTTTAAATGAGAAGCACATTTATTGTGCAGCTAGAAAAGGAAAAAGAGAGACGGTATCAAATGCTACACCACCCTAGCAAACACGATGTAAGTTACATTTCAACTGAGAAACAGCAAATGCATTAAAAGTACATTTCAAAATGTATACAAACAAATAAGCAGGATCATAAAATGACTCACATTACATTTGCCTTTATTTATACCTTAAATAAGCCAGTTAGAAATTTCTTGGACTCAAGCTATATATTGTCTAATTCTCAGAAACGTTCATATTAAAAATGTGTTTTAGGTTTTACATTGAGGAAGTCTGATTTCTTTTGCAAAAAGAAATTATTGTCCATTATAGTTCATTCTTTACTGCTGTTGCTAGAATCTTGAAACCATCTTGCACTATGGGGTTTTTTTTTTGACCCTCCTGTTTCCCCAAAGTCATTCCAAAGTGCTCAGCTCAGTATGGGGCATAATTGATCCTATCATTAGTTTTAACTTCATAATTCAATATGTAAATGTAGCCAGAGATTCATCTCAGTAGGAACAGGATATCAATATAAGATGATTATGATTATAAAAATTTATCTTTATATTGTATTTATCAGCTCTACATTAAATTAGTGCATAATCACATAATGTGCTATTTATGTTTTGTCATTTATGAATTGAAGATGATAATTAGTTTACAAGTTTAAACTAAAGCATTACAGTATAGTTATAATAGTGACTTTAAAAAATGTAATGGTAGTTTTTGTTATAATTACACAGATTTGATAAAATAAACCTTTGATTAAAGACATCTAGAAAGTTTTCTTTCCCCTACTTCATATTAACTTCAATAAGAAAAAATTTCATACTTTAAAAAATACATGTTATTTTTTTCATGCTCAAAACCAAATTAAAGAAAAAAAATTAAGTACCATATTACTTTTCAGTTTTGAACAGAATGCTACCTCTTTTAAGTCAGGCTATAAATATCTCCATAACAAATTTATCTTGTAAACAGTCAATTAATAACAAAAAATAGAAATAAAATATGTGCTAATTTGCTATTGGTGATAGAACTGTATCAAAGAGGTATTCCCTGGCCCTAGAATCTAAAACATTTATCATGCTAACTTCCTGTCTTCAGTGTAAAACCTAGGAGTTAAGACTACTTATTCTATAATTAATGTACATTGTTGTTAAGTGCCACCAAGTTGGTTCTGACTAATAATGACACTGGATAGGGTTCCCGAGGAGCAGCTGGGGAGCTTGAACCGCCTACCTTGTAGTTCAAACCGACTTTGCAGTCCAGCGTATTAACCCACAGTGCCACACCAGAACTCATATGCCTTCAGTCATATTAAATGACATAAAGCTACCTTTACAAATTCTTCACAATTAGCAGCTTTGCTTCTCAATAGCATGTATAGTTTGCTATTAAAACGAATGCCTTACTATTCTATTAGGCATTGCTGATGTTTGACAAGAGACAAGAGGTGTTGAAGAAAAAAGAAGTAGTTGAAGACACATGCACAACAAAACTAAATAAAATGACACGTGATTTGGCAAATTGAAATACATAGCTTCCTCACAATAAAATTAGAGATTAGTTTGAAATGTAATATTAGCTTATTTAACTTAATAATATATTTTCCAAAAGTAAATCATGGTTCTGTATATTTAGGTTTAGAGGTAATGGATTACCACGCTCCATAAAAATTGAACCAAAAAAAAAAAAAAAAAGATACACATCTTAAAGCTCTTCTGTACCTGGGCCATCACAGAGAAAAACCTTTTGCTCTTTGATTTGTTCAGCTGCGTTAAAACCAAGCCTGCAAACTCTAAGATCCCTCTACAAAGAAAAAGACCCAAGATAAAAATTTTTGTATATATAAAATGTGTAAGCCTTGAATTTTTATTCTTGACTGCAGTAGAAAGACACTAATATGACTCTGAGGAACAGTGGGCAGGGCATTCTGTGTCATGCCAGCATTGGTCATAGGAAGTCTGAGCACTGAGGGCCTCACATTCCTTCACACTTTCCTTCCATGTGCTCCCACATTCTCCAACTGACAGGATGAGGGATCATTAACCTCATTATAGAAATTTGGAGGTTACAGTGTGTAAGAAGAGATGGAAAAAATAAAAAATAATTTATTGATAGCTTTTTTCACATTCAGTCTAGATTTCCTGCCAGAAGAAAAGAATTGACAATTCAAGTAGACTAACTACACCATTTGATGAGATGATGTGGTATTTGAATTTGAAAGCTTTATGATATAACAGAACTAGCAAATGATCCCCTGAAATACCGGCCTCTGAGCCCTGGCTAGGCAGCTGCAAAGAAAATTCTACAGAAATTCTGTAGAAATGTGGCAAGGCCTATAGACATGTTGGTAATCACACAATCACCAGAAAAACAGCATCTCACAGTGCAAGAAAAGCCTCCTTATCAAGAAGTCTAGATTAAAGTAACATTATCCAAGCTTATCTTGATTAAGTCTGAACTCTGGCCATCAACATGATGTCACCCTTTTTAGTTAGGAGTGCCAAAACATAAGACACCGTGTTGGAACCACTGGTTGTCTTACACGACATGAGTCAAGTTTTTATAGTAGGCACAGTGTATGCACCCTATCTCATATTTGAGATATTTGAAAACCTAATACAAAATGTAAAGGTAATGAGAGAGAATATATTTCCCTAGGCTGTTTATCAAGATTGAAAAATAACAACTAATTGATTAAACTTTTCATGTCAAAATTTTATGGGCAATCGTATAAAAAAGATAAACACCTGAGTTATTCTCAGTGTGTATAAGATATAAAGACAAATCATTGTTTTAAAGATTTGTTGTTGTTATGTGCCGTGGGGTTGATTCCGACTCATAGCGACCCTGTACAGGGTTTATGAGGCTATAAATCTTGACGGGAGCAGAAAGTCTCATCTTTCTCCCGCAGAACAGCTGGTAGTTTCAAACTGCTGACCTTAAGGTTCACAGCCCAATTCGTAACTACTACGCTACCATGTTGTTGTTAAGTGCTGTACAGTCAATTCCGACGCATAGCCACCCAGTATAGGGTTTCCGAGGACCAGCTGGTGAGCTTGAATTGCCGACCAGCAGTCTGGCTCATTCATTAATCCACAGCGCCAGAACAGGACTCCATATCATGCGCACCTGCAAATTCTGCAATACTTAAAGTAAACTAGAGTAATAGTGAATCCTGCATTTTCATAGTAAAAGATTTGTGACCTATTTTTCCCAATAGTATTTTTTGTTGCTTTGGCGTTCTGCTCCTGTAAAGATTTACAGCCTCGGAAACCTTGTGCAGAGTCACTGAGTCAGGACCTTAACAACAACAAGGTATCTTTAAGGAGCTCTGGTAGCGTAGTGGTTACGAGTCAGGCTGCTAAGCTCAAGGTGAGCAGTTCAAAAGTACAAGTCATTATGCGGACGAAAGATGAGGCTTTCTGCTCCCATAATTTGCAGCCTTGGAAACCGTATTCAGGGTTGCTATGAGTCAGAACCGACTCCTCGGCACACCACCACCACCACCACCACCACCCAAGATATCTTTAAATTAGAAACCCTGAGATTTTCATTTTGTTATCTGTATAGACGGTCCCACTCATATTTAAGGATGCCATTCCACACCTATGATATTCAAAAAATATGAAACACCCTTTCCTGGAAATGAATTGAACACTTGGAAATAATTTCAGAGTTCATGGAAAATTCCAGTAGCACCTAATTTAGAGTCATATCTATGTTTGTTGGAAAAAGTTATCACAAACTAGCAAGAAAAAGTGTGTTTGTGTTTGTGTGTGCACCTGACAAAACGTGAGTGTGCTGTATGGAGCAGAAGTAAGTGGAATGTCAAAATTCAGAAGGAGGAACAGAAGAAAATAAATTTTTGTATGAATTTTAAAGAAAAAAAAGAAGTAAAGACATTATGCTAAGGGAACTTAAGGAATATGGTTAAGAGTAATACATCAGTTTATTTTCCTAATATTTTACAATCAGGGTATAACTTAAAGCTGGAATTTTCTAAAGCATATGGTGCTTTAAGATAAGCCCTGGACTACTAACTGAAAGGCTGGTGGTTCAAATCCACCAGCGACTCCTTGGAAACCCTATATAAACTTGATATGAGTTGGAACCAGTGTGATGGTATATTTAACAACAGCAAACTATTTTATGTCATTGAAAACTTTTTTTTTTTAATTGCATAATTTTTTTCATAATTTGATATGAGTAACATTACATAATACAAAATGTTAGTAGTGAATAGCCAAGGTGTAGACTGTCTGTTGTCAAGCCAAGTAAAATGTATTAACCTCTCATCCTGGTTGTTCCTGTCTGATTAAGAACATTTTACAATGACTAGAAATAATATTCCTAACATGTTCTAAATAAAAAATCTAGGAAACAGGCTAACAGTATAAATTAGCAGGTGTAAGCAATGGGATCTTAAGGATAACAGAATGTAATCAAGAGACAGAAGGGGAAATAAGATAATATTACAATAATAGACATTAGAAGATGATTTTATACTATTCCTTCTTAATATTTTTTAAGTCATTAGATTTATAAAAGGAGATAAAACTTGGTTCTAAGAACCTAACTTTATATTTGCAATATGGTAAATTAGTAGAATATAAAAAAGCCATAGGTACTAAGTAAGTAAAATATATGAATAGATTTTATTTTTAAATATTTGTTTAAGCTTATTTGCTTATCTGATGCAGACTTAAGTATTCCAGGATGACTTTTTTCAAAAACAAAATTTAAATAGGACATGCTTTTAAAGTTCAATATTTAATAGTGTACTTATTGAGTACTTCCTCTAAACTCAGCACTCTGTTAAGGGCCTTGGGAGATTAGAAAAAAATATATCTGTTATGGATCTGGAGTTGCAGCAGACTCTACTCTCGCTGTGTAGACAGAATTAGCATACAGACATGGAACCAAGAAATTATTTAAGTCTGTCTGTGTGTGTGTGTGCAATAAAGGTACAAAAATTATTCAGAAAAATATATATGTGTCAAGAAAACTTGGAAGATCTGAACCTTATTTTGGTTCTTGAGAATTTAAGGAGGGGGCATTCCAAGGAACATGGTGAGCAAAATAACAGGAAGGAGTGAACCTGTCCTTCCCTAGAGAGTGCTAAGAGATATGTAGCTACAGTAGAGGGTGAACATAGGGAAGGAATGTTACACATAATCATGTGCTTAGATTCGGGTTTGAAATTTTGAGGAACTGAAATCCAGGTGGAGATAGGGGGAGGAAAGGGCTGCATTTACTATCACAGAATTATTATAAGTTGCTGAAGGAGGCAGATGATAACAAATGAGTATTTTCAGAAGATCTTTCTGGAGGTGGTGCTGCCTGCATTATAGAAAAAGTACCTTCTGTTAAGGAGCTAAGCCAAGAGATTCTGAGTCTAATCTAGTCAAGAGGTGCTAAGAGCTTGCACTAGGTCTGTGAATGTGGAGGCATAGACTCATATCTGAGACAGAGATTTTAATATGAAAATGTCAAGGCTCAGTGACGGGTTAAATGTATGGGACAAAAGTAAAAGACAAGAGCAAAGTAAACTTACTTCTAACTCTACTCCCAATGACTGGGAAGCATGATAATGCCATATCTGATGGCAGTGAGAGTAGAAACAGCTGCTCTTTGTGAATGTCAATGAGAGATTTCCATTAGGATGTAGTCAGATTCAGGATCACTGGATCATGGATACATTTAGAGAATCAGGACCAGTATGCAACGTTACTTTGACTTAAAGCACGCAAGTGTGAATTCTTGTAGAGGTGAGAGAAAAGGCATGAATAATATTTATGGAATGTGCCAGTCACTTGGTATTTCACATAATTCCCATTATGATACTGTTATTGTTATTAAGTGCCGTCGAGTTGGTTCCGACTCATAGTGACCCTGTATAGGGTTTCCAAGAAGCGGATAGTGCCTTTGAACTGCTGCCCTTGCGGTTCAAATCAACCTTGCTGTCGAGTGCTTATCCTACAGTGCCACATCAGGCATAATGTGCCAGCTATTCTGATAACTGACACATACTAAACACTTATCATGTGTAATGCCCAGCCCTAAGCACATAGAGTTGGATTATTTAGCTATTCATAAAAAATCTTACAAAATAAATATATTTAATTACATTTTACAAATTAAGAAATTGACCAGTATGGCCTACATACCTGGCTCAAGATAATACAACTAATAAGTGACCATCTTAAGAAATCAGACTGGTATGAGTATAAAATTCAAGATTCAAATCATTTCCAAAAGTAATATAGAAAGCTTTAGGTTTGTTAGAAAAACCAACAAAACAAAATAAAAAACCTGAAGTGAAACCAAGCTGTTTTTTTCTTGTTTCTTTTTGGAATCTATCTTTAAGCAAATTCAGTCTAAAAGGCCTTCCTAAAGAACAAAACTGAGGGCGTCTCATTCCATCACTCTCAAAACTTATGCTAGCTAGTCACCACATTAGTAACAATCTCAGGGATGTACAAGGACAAATGAAAGTAAATTTAGTTTGTTTTACATTAGTCACTAATAGGTAATACCAGATAAACATCAGTCAAGAGAATATCAACTGTATAATAAAATTTTCATACAATGGCTTAAGAAGAAACTATGAATTATATCTAAATGTATAAATTTTCTGCAATAGATATATTATTCATATGAACAAAATATACATTACATATGAACAAAAATCAATATATTTAATAATTTGGACCTACAATTGCTTAAAATTAAAAATCCAAATATGCACAGAGGCTGAAATTACTTACAGAAGGCTGAATATTTTTCCAGATATACAAAAACTTTTTTTTCCCTTTAACTGTGCAAGTCTTGCTTCATAGGGGTCTTTGGAGCTCACAGTATATAGGAATTAAACATTAGGAATTAGGAGAGCTTAGAAAGAGGTCTGGGCTGCTAACCATAAAGTCAGCAGTTCAAATCTATCAGCTGCTCCACAGGATAAATATGAGGCTTTCTGCTTCCATAAAGATTTATAGCCTTGGAAACCCTATACAGGGTCCCTATGAGTCAGACTGATTCAGTGACACACCACCACCACCACCAGAAAGAAAGCAGCCTTTTTTTTTTTTTTTTTTTGTCTAATTCTGCATTTAAAACCCCATAGCTCTCTGATTAGCTTTGTTCCTTGAATGAAATTGATGGATTTAAAGACCTTAATAGCTTATGTTGTATTCTGACATAGTGCTTAATAGAACCATATTCATGGACCCTAATAAAACAAAATATCAGAAACATAGATCTGAACTGATAAGAGACAGTTGAAATCCTTGAGTTTTAACAGTATGGTATATTCAAAGGTAGCATACACATTCCTGTAAAAGTCAGGGCTTGCCTTATGTCTCTCAAGGCATGTGTCATCATGAAGATATAAGATAAATATATGGCTGGTGAGTGGTTGGTCTAGAAATGTAGACTTTGCAGTCACAAATAATGGACCACCAAAAGAAGAAAAAATAATCACAACAAAAGAAAGAGAAACAAGGAAAAAAAAATGGACCATAAAACAAGCAAAGACATAATTTCAAGATGTCTTTCATACCAATAAGAAACTACAATAAGTAATAGCAAAAGTTTAGATAATACAAGTATATGATCCTAAAAAATGGAAAGAGTGGAAGATATAGTTCATGAAGATTAAATGAGTAAAGGAGAAGAGCCTAGTAAAAGGAAACTCTTTAAAGTTCTAAAGCATAATATAGTATTAGAAGAGGCAGCAATACTGTATTTAAGAAAAGTTTAAGCTAAGTTTGTATTTAAAATACATTAATATTTTTAAGAAACAAAAAATACTAAATAAAAAACAAAGACATTATGTTTGAAGCTTATAAAGAATAAGAAAATGACTTGAGAAGTAAAGAGAAAATAAACCTTATTTAATTTCAGTGAGTATACCATGAAAAATACATGAATTCGTTCCTACAAGATCTGAAACAAACACTTGGTGCCTTGGTAGATGCTTAGCAAACGAAAGTCTAATACTTTTTAAATGTGCAGAAGTTTTAAGAATGAGATATTTGTTATCTTCTCAGAACTGAGAAATTTAATATGGTTGAGCATTTCATATGTATAATTTAAACATTGTTAGGTATTTTATTATAATAACTAAACATTTTTAAAAAATAAGGTTGTTTTCCATACTTGAGAAAATTTCAAATGTAAATATAATTTAACCAAGTAATAACTGCAAATGAGTAAAGAAAATGTGCTCATTTAAAAAAAAAATAGTACTTAAATATATTTTTGAAATGCAAGTCACAGTTTGTTTTTCTCATTATCCTCTCTGTGTATGTGCGCACACATGTATATATTTAAGAAAAAAATGTTTAAACTGTTTAGTGTTTTGGAGATACTACAGAAAAATCTCTGATTTTGCCTAACTGACTCATTTGGCCTAAAGTTTTACTGTAACAAAAGCACAAAGTAATTTGTCTTTTAAGGAAAGGCTTAAGTGTTAGCTAGGAAACAAACAAAAAAAAACCCCCAAAAATTCCTGTCCCATAAATGTTTTTGTAGTACAGTTTCAAAAGGTGCTATCCTTGAAAAAGGGCATTCTAATTATTTTCTAGCTATTAAATCAGTATATCTAACAATTTTATTTATTCCAGAATTTATTTGATGCAGGGTTTGACAATCATTCAAACATGGCAGATTCCTAAAGTTTCCCAGAATAGACAAATTCATCTCTTCTCTTAGTTATCAGTGACCTTAATTACTGCACTTGTATCTATATCTCATGTCTCATAATGTATGATTTACCTGATGAAGCAAGGCAAAGACATGTTAGGAAGGAGTGTTCAATGAGTTCTCACAAACATCAAAACCTAAAACGTGGACTCCTTTTCCTCTTCTACCTGATTATATGGAGTCCTGGTGTGGTGCTGTAGGAGAAGCTTTGGACTGCTAACAACAAAGTCGGCAGTTCAAACCCACTAGCTGCTCCTCAGTAACCCTAATCAGGGTTGCTATGAGTTGGGACAAACTTGGTGGTACTTACTGACAATAACAACAGCCTGATTACATGATCAAGACTATTTGCTTAGTTTCATTTCATATCAGTGTCTTCATTGTATCCTTAAATCTTTGGACAGAATTGTTCATTTTTCTAACCTTGTAAAGCCCACAGATCCTGTATTCAAAATGAATCCACAATATGTGAAAGAGACAACACTATGAAAATGGGGAAGTGGAGTGGAGGGAGAGTTATGCCCAGGTCGTAACATCTTCCTCCCATGGCCTGTCCCTAGCTGAGGTCTCTGACTACCCTTCTAGTAACTTTTCAAGCTACAAGGAACACAGTTTGAAAGCCACATAATGATATCTAATGTCTAAGATTGCAGCCAGTTCTAAAATCGTTGATTCTATGGAGAGAAACCTAACTCTGGTCCTGTTCTTTTGAAACAGATGAAATAAGAAGTTTCCATGTTTTTATGCTGTCTTAGTCTAAAATTCAGGAAAGCCTTCTTGTTCGGGTACTTCAAGTATATGTGACATACAGCCTTCAATGTGAGTAAATGCTGGGATTGTTTCCCCAATGTTACTCACTGTGATCTGACACCAAACACAATGCAATCCTGTCAGGCCCTGGTAACATTTAACAGTTTTGTGGCACTTGTCACATTTGGTTGGGCAGTTGCCTTCAACCCAGTAATGGTGCATAACCTAGAACAGAAAAACAGCAATTGTGTAAGAGGAGGTATATATCAGCAACACCCTCAGAAAACAAGTAGGTCTACACACTTACATCGGTGTTTTTCTTGGACTTCACATAGGTCTTGATGCAAGAGGGAGGCGCTCTAGCTACACAGCGTTCGTGGACTGTATACTTGCAAACTGAAAGGAAACATGTATACAAATTCAGAGCTAATTCTCGTCTTGATTGCAATTTTATAGGGAAAGAATGACATTAACAGAACCTCATTTCATATCCACTGCTCCCTAATCAATCCAATCAGCCACATCAAGGAAAAGTCCAAGTCGACTGTTTTTACCATGGAATACAAAAGGCCAATTAGCACAGGAAATATTATGCATGTGAAAAACCAAGACTCCTCTATCATGGCATAGCAGGAAGTGCTTAATTAAATCAGTCCTCACTCAAATTTTTCACAATAATTCCCAGATGACAAAAATATTAAAGACAAATTGATGACTGCCAAATGGCTTGGTGTCATTTGCTAGAAGGCAGAGATCTATATTTTACAAAGTATAGGCATGAGAGCAGCTGGCAGGCATGGAAATAAAAGCCATGAATTTATTCTGTTTTGTCTATCGATTTATCTAACCCTTAAATGGCTGATTAGTATATTTCTAGAGAATAGATTTTGTCATATTGCAGGCCCCATAAAAGTTTAGACATCAATGATCATCATAGTACTGTTTTTCTAACAGGAACAACCTTTTCTACACAACAGATGAATTGAATGAATATTATTATATAACCATAAATTATTATTATTAACATTATATTCATATTTATTATGCGTTGAGTGGAAGTTCACAGACAAGATCATCAGTTTTATATTCAACAAATCATACACATTTTTGTCATCTTAATGACTGCAATCTCCTCCATGCAACAAGTTATCCCACTTCCTCCCTGTGGTTCCTATTTGCATTCCACCCACCTTTCCATCCCTTCTCAACTTTGTCCTTAGGAAAACATGTAAATGCTGAAACCTGTGTAAGGCAAAACCTGTCAGAGAAGGAAATCTCGAATATTTTCCACTGAAATGAGTGATAGAAATGTACTAAGATTGCACCCTATCAAAAGCATAAAACTTGTGAAACGTGGAAAAACAAGGAAGTCCCCTGGTTGCACTGTATATGCAAAAATTTGCTTTGGTAGGCATATATACTAAATGCTATCCTTTTGATTTTGGATGATTGACTGTCCCATCATTCACAGTAAGCATACTTTACTAGTGTTGTTGTCATCCTATATAGCTATCTACTTGCTCAGCTGAAAATTGGGACACCAGGGTGAGTTTCTTTCCAGTCCTTAAAGGTGGTTGAGGGCCATTGTCTCAAGTTCCTCCAGTTTCTTTCTGATGAGTACACCTGGTCATTTATAACAAAAAAAAATCTTAGTTTTGTTCTACATATTCTGCTGGTCTATCTGGGAACTCTAAAGTGATCCCTTCCAGAGCGGTTGGTGGTGGTAGCCAGGCACCATCTAGTTTTTCTGTCTCAGAGTTGTGAAGACTCAGGTTCACATGTTTCTTTAGTCCATTAGACTAGTTTATCCTCAAGCCTCTTCAATTCTCATTGCACTTCTTTCTTCCACACATGGAGACACCAACAGTTGTACCTTAAATCACTGCTTATAAGCTTTTAAGATTCCAGATGTTATTCACCAAAGTAGGATGTAGTACATTATCTTTGTAGACTACATTATGCCAATTGATCATAGTGTCCCTAGAGACTATGATCCCGAGCCTTCAGGCGCAGCAACCCATTGCTTATGATATTTGATAATATCTAAGAAGTTTTCATTATTTTGCCAACTGTATGCTCCACCACATTCGTATTCATAGTAGTGTTTGTAGGAAAGGTGCCCATGTATCAAAATCCTCTTTCAAACTCTTCCAAAATATACACTTCTTGGCATACGTAAATGATTTTATGGTTTGATTTTGAATATAACTCAGGGTAATTTACTGATGCTAATTTACTAAAAATATCGATCTCAAATTGAGTCTTATAAATAAGATAAAATCAAATTTAAAAGTAATAATAATAACAGGTAGCTTTCTCAATGACACAAATGGAAATAGTCATTCCATGAATTTAGATTGAAAAATTTTAAATCAATGAAACACAGTAAAAATCTTCTAAGTATGCATATTTATAATTTCATTCAGTTGCATCCTGGTATGGTGATGTGAGTTAATGTTCTGAACTGTAAATTCGGTTTGAACTTCAAGGTTAGCGGTTCAAGCTCACCAGCGGCATCTCAGAAATCCTTAAGAGGTTCGCCATGGGTTAGAACCAACCTGACAGCACTTAACAAGCACCAACAGCAACAAGTTCCTTGAGTAAAACAAAGGGAAAACTCATACTTTTTATCCTCTCTATACTGACTTATGCATTGCTTTCACAACACTAATCAGTTAAAATATGTGAAAAGAATTTTCATTCTCCTTATTATACTAGTAACCATATTTGAGAACATAATTTCCTTCATATGAGCCTAACAATACAATTTACCATAGAAAATTACCTTCTTAAAACAAAATAAAACCTTAAAAACAAAGCATTTTATTTTCAGGACTGGCTACTACCATATCAGAGGTCCAAACCAACAGGCAACTCTCAGAAACCCTATAAATGGTGGCTGTGGAATAAAGTTGATGACACAGACAAGAACATGCATACACACACACACGAGGGGACTTGGAAAAATGGAAATGAAAATAATGGAATTTTTCCACAAATTCTTTGAAGTATATACGTATGTTGTTGTTGCTAAGTGCAATTGAGTCGGTTCCGACCCATAGTGACCCTGTATAGGGTTTCTGAGGAGCAGCTGGTGAGCCTGAACCACCAACCTTGCAGTTCAAATGGCTTTGCAGTCCAGCGCATTAACCCACAGTACCACACCAAGACTTTCTCTCTCTCTCTCCCTACATAAAT